AGATGACTCGTCGTGACAATTTCATTCCTATCGAACAAGTCATGCCCATCATGATGTGGGTCCCTGATTGGGACGGTATCCTGCCTGAGCCAGCCATCCTCAAGCCCCGGCCTCTCTGGACCGGTAAGCAGATTGTCAGTATGGCTTTTCCTCGTGAGGTCAACATCGAGAAGAAGGAAGATGACTCTACGCCGAGCAAGGACAACGACATCAAAGACAAGAGTTTGATGATCAAGGGTGGCCAGCTCATCTATGGTCAAGTCACCAAGAAGATTGTCGGTGCTTCGGCTGGCGGTGTCATTCACATTGTGTTTAACGAACTCGGCTCTGACGCAGCTGTCAAATTCTTCAACTCTTGTCAGCGAATCTGCAATTGGTGGCTTCTTCACTACGGCTTCAGTTTCGGTGTGGGTGACACCATTCCGGATCCCGGCACCTCTGAAAAGATTGCGTCTGAGATTTCGAAGTCCAAGGTCAAGGTTGAGGACATCATTGCGACGGCAACAAAGGATCAGCTTGAGCCTTTGCCTGGTATGACTATCCGCGGTACTTTCGAGTCCAAGGTTCAGAAGTTCCTGAACGAAGGTCGTGAAGGTGGTGGTACTGCCGCCCAAAACAGCTTGAAGGATTTCAACAACGTTGTCCAGACTGTCGTCTCTGGTTCCAAGGGTTCTACAGTCAATATCTCCCAAATGGTTGCCCTCGTCGGTCAGCAAGCCGTGGAGGGTCAGCGTATTCCGTACGGTTTCAAGTACAGGACGTTGCCACATTTCTCAAAGGACGACTACTCACCCGAGTCTCGTGGTTTCGTCGAGAACTCTTACCTTCGTGGTCTTACGCCTTCTGAGTTCTTCTTTCACGCCATGGCTGGTCGTGAAGGTTTGATCGATACGGCTGTCAAGACGGCCGAGACAGGTTATATTCAACGTCGTTTGGTCAAGGCGCTTGAAGATGTCATGGTCAAGTACGATGGAACTGTCCGTAACTCAATGGGAGACATTGTTGAGTTCATCTATGGTGAAGACGGTCTTGACGGTGCTCATATCGAGAAACAGTCGATGGATATCATCATGTCTTCGGAGCCTGCCTTCGAGGCTGCATACAAGCTCGACGTCCTGACCACTGACCAACCAGAGATTCCTGTGTGGAAGCTCGAGAGCTCTCCCTTGTTCCAAGGTGACGTCGACGTGCAGCGCGCTCTTGACGAAGAGTTCGAGGCTATCAAGAGCGACCGTGAATATCTTCGTGCAAACGCCAGCGAAGATGATCTTGAGTCTTTCCAGCTGCCTCTCAACATTGCACGCATGATTCGCTCTGCTCAAGCGAGGTTCGGTATCAACCCAGAGAAGGCTGCTAGCAACCTCCATCCAATCGAGACCATCAAGCAGGTCCGCGAGACTCTTGATCGCCTAGTTGTCATTCGTGGTACCGACGAACTTTCCAGAGAGGCTCAGGACAGCGCCACATACCTTTTCAAGGCTCACTTGCGGGCACGTCTCGCTTTCAAGAAGCTTGCAGTTGAACATCGTCTCAACAAGGAGGCACTGAGCTACGTGCTGGGAGAATTGGAGGATCGCTTCCTCAAGGCTGCTGTTGCGCCTGGTGAGATGGTCGGTGTACTTGCAGCCCAGTCCATTGGTGAACCCGCCACGCAGATGACACTCAACACTTTCCATTTTGCTGGTGTGTCTTCCAAGAACGTTACACTCGGTGTGCCACGTCTCAAGGAAATTCTGAACATTGCTGCAAACATCAAAACCCCTTCTATGCTTGTCCGCCAAGCAGACTCCAAGGCAAGTCAACAGCAGGCGAAGCTACTGCGAAGCACTATCGAGCTTACAACCCTCCGATCACTGACGCAAGCCGTTGAGCTTTACTATGATCCTGAAATTCAATCTACGCTTGTCGAAGATGATCAGGACATGGTTGAGTCCTACTTCATCTTGCCCGAAGAGGACGAGGTCATCGAGTCGCAGTCTAAATGGTTGCTCCGTATCATTCTCGATCGTAAGAAGTTGTTGGATAAGAGTATCACCATTGGTGAAGTTGCCGGCAAGATCAAGGAAGAGTTCAAGCCCAATCTTGCAGTCATCTTTAGTGACGAGAATGCGGATGAACAGGTCATGCGTGTCCGTTTCATCTGGGATCAGAATCTTCAAAAGGACGACGAGGATGAGGATGAGCGAGACGAGCGATGGATGCGCAAGCTTGAGAAGCATCTTCTTGACGACGTCACCCTTCGTGGTGTTCGTGGTGTTGAGCGTGCTTTCATTCGAGAGCACACTGTTACTGTCGAAAAGGAAGACAGGTCCCTCATGCACTCAAAGAACAACGACTTGTGCAAGGAATGGGTTCTTGACACTACTGGTACTTCCTTGGCTGAAGTGCTGGCCATTGAGGGTGTGGACGCAACTAAGACATACTCCAACTCTTTCATTGAAATCCTTGGGGTACTTGGTATTGAAGCAGCCCGAGCTGGTCTTCTCAAGGAGTTGGGTATGGTCTTGTCCTTTGACGGTTCTTATGTCAACCATCGCCACATGGCATTGCTTGTCGACATCATGTGCCAACGCGGTCTTCTTATGGCCATCACTCGTCACGGTATCAACCGAAACGATACTGGTGCTCTGATGCGTTGTTCTTTCGAAGAGACTGTTGAAATTCTTCTCGAGGCTGCTGGCTTTGGTGAGCTTGATGACTGCCGCGGTGTTTCCGAAAACATTATGCTTGGTCAGCTTGCACCCATGGGTACCGGAGAGTTTGATGTTGTCATGGACAATGCTATGCTGCTCACCATGGTCGAGGATAACTCCAAGGCAATGGGCGCCGCTGCAGGCAACTACGTGGTTGGTGGTGCAGACACACCGTACCTCAACTCACCTACGTATGATGGCGGTACTGGCATTGGTTCCTATGACCAGGTGTCCTTCTCGCCCATTGCTCCTACAGGTGGCAGTGGCGATGTAGGTGGCTTTACAGACTACGGAGGCACCTATGGTGGTGGCCTAAGTCCGTTTGATGGAGGTAGAAGTCCAGGCTCCGGTTTCACCGGCATGTCTCCGGGCTTCACTAGCCCCGTGTCGCCAGGCTTCTCTCCGACCTCGCCTGGCTACTCGCCTACTTCTCCAGGAATCGCCAGTCCTCGTTTTGCTGCTACATCTCCGGGGTACATGGCGTCTCCTACGTCGCCCCACTACTCTCCGACTTCGCCTCGCTATGGCTCGCCTACGTCGCCTTCGTACTCGCCTACATCTCCAGCTGGCTACTCCCCGACGTCACCTCAATACTCACCAACGTCGCCAAACTACAGCCCAACATCCCCAACATTTATGGGCGGTGCTACTTCACCCGCGTACAGTCCGACGTCGCCACAGTACAGCCCGACTTCCCCCCAGTACAGTCCTACAAGTCCACAGTACCAAGCAGGCAGCGATCGTCGCTCTCCCACTTCTCCCACATCCCCTCAGTACAGCCCGACGTCTCCCCGATACTCGCCCACTAGCCCGGCTGGTGCCTTCTCCCCAACCTCCCCAAGATACAGCCCAACTTCTCCGGGTCCGGCGTACTCTCCCACGTAGGTTACCCACGATCATAGTTGTAGACGACTTCTTTTGTTGTAGTATATGCTGACTTTGACCTAGATCTCCAAAGCAATAGGCGGCTTGTTGATGTAAGGCTTCTTATTTCTTCACTGTTTTATATCGAAATATGTTCTCTTCTTGGGATGATTTGGACGAACTCTTTACTGAAGTTGAGCAAGCTACATTGGTGTCTGCCCGCTCTCTTGGTCAAAGGTTCGACTTAACCTCCTATCAACCCCATCACGGCTGGTCTCGTACGGCAGGTCGTATCTGCAAGCGGTCGTTCCTTTAATTAGGCTCACGTCCTTTTCAACACGGTCTGTTCGACGACTGATGGGTTTACCTCGCATGCCCCTCATTACAATGCTTTACTCGCGGAACCAAGTTTGTACAACAACTACAACAACCCTTATTACCCAAGCTGCGACTTTAGCGGCACCAAAAATCTGCTCATCAATCACGCCACGAGATTGGACCTTTTTGCATACACACCCTAATCTTGAGGGTAGTATCGGCGTTTATTTTCATGGCTCTTGTCTTTGTCTTTCTCATTCCACTGCAAAAAAAATATACATGCAAGGCGTTTGCGTGTGTGGGACTTGCTTTGCATTCCTGATATATACACTCTAAAGAGGTGTTTGCGCTTTGCTTCTTTATGCGTTTCTGCACTTTCATCACTAGAACGATCACAACCTTCAGTAGCCCGCTCAAATCGCGCATTGGGGCTTTTTGTTTTCTTGTTAGCTGAAGAATCAAATTGGGGAGGATGCGAGATGGGGAGATGTCTGAAACGTCTGCATTACGAGCGGCGAGTTATAGTAGCAATTGCGTCGACGTACGCGATATGAGTTATAATAAGAAATTCACGAAAAGTTGGGAGAGTCTTTGTTCTGAGATGTTGTGACAGTGAGTGAGAATAAAATAGCTGCCAATGACAAGCTATTGGTTCTATGAAGTGACTATGCAATTCTTTGCTGCGGAGGACTTTAGGGGATTTGGATTCATTCAAAGCAGAACTGTGTGAAGAGAGACTGTGCCTTCTCATACTCATCAAGCGTCACTCATACAGATTGACTTGAGAAGCAAAAGTGGAGAAGCATCACGTGCACTGGCGTTGGTGGAATTTAGACGACGCTAGCGCGTCTGCAGCGAGCTACAAAACCCCGCCAAAATTATTTCTCTCTTCTGCAACGGCCTGCCTTGCCAAAGCTGCGTTTCTTTGCATACACTCAGACGCTCTTTACCGAGTTGTCCCAACGTGCAAATGAGAAATTCGGAGTAATCTTCACTTTTTATCATGCCCCTCTCGAAGGAGGGGAGCTGTACTGCTCGTAAGAGCCTGGCGTGACTCACGTCTGCACTCGGCATCAGAAAGCTCAGGGCCCAGAAAGCGCGTTTTTTTCTTGCTTCGGCGGGAGAGCGCGTGGAACTGGTGTCCCTATGGGAGTCGGTGCGAAGATTGTGTGTCTTTTACCCGGCAGGGAAGAGGCGACACTGTAGTACAATACGCAGCGTACTTGACCTTGAGTAGCCCTTTGGGGGAAAAAGGGCACAGTATCATTCGATTCTGATTACTCTGGCGAGGCAGGCCGTTCACTCTTATTTTTTTTCTATGTAAGTCTGATTCTTCCAACGCATCGTGTAGTTCAGGGATACTGCTAATGAAAACTTTCATAATATACTAGGACAAAGTAACGTTTTGCACCATGTTACCCTACCCTCGGGTGACATGGTCTACTTTGCTGGCTCTGTCGAACCATCTTTCACTCTATACATAATGTCTGTTCGTAGTGTGAACTTTTGCCCACGCACCACATCGTCACCACTATGGATCATAAGACGGTGCTGGAATAGCAGGACCCGACCGACTTTTGGTACAACGTCTACACGCTTGTGCATGTTTGCACTGAAGAAAGTTGTGGCTCCGCCTTCCAGCTGTGTTTCGCCATCTTTGCCGACAGCATCGTTGAGGTATAAATGCAGGGTGAAGTATGAGCGCTCGGTACCATCAGGCGTCTCGTATGAGCCATCACAATGAGCTGCTCCAGTCAGTAGGTGCATTACGTCTACCCAATTCAAGACTCACGTTTGAAGTACTCGCCACCAACGTACTTGAGAAATCTTGCCCGTTCGTTCAACCTAGTCAGTACCCAAGTCTCTCCCCGCCGCGCGGGACCATTTCCCGTGACTTCTACCCAGTTTTGTAAAGTGTGGATTTCCGGCACAGACGGTGCTATTCTCGCCCAGAGTTTGTCCATAATCTCCTTGTTGTCCCAGATGATGCGGCCACACTTCCTTGTATCCTCATACATGGCCTGCATGCCACCACCCACATTCACCATTGCTCGCTCCCATTTACCGTCGGTTGTTGCCTCGGCTCCTTTGATCAAGGTTTCGCATTCCTCTTCGGTCAAGACGCCGTCTAGGACGACGGCCCAGGACTTTTCACATTCGGGTATTCCGGCTTCTTTGAAGTCGATCTTAGACTTTGTAAGATTGGGTGCTGGGCCCTCAAGGAAGCCTGGAGGTAGCGTAGAGGATGGGGGTGGGGGTGAAGGCAGTTTGCTGGTGGTAGCCATAGTTACTAGATGCCTGTGACTGCTTCGAAAAGGAGTGCGACACAAAAGCAAAGGCCGCAGCCGCATTAGGCAGCTCATCTTATATGTACAGGCTCAACAAGGTTGTGAATACACAGAAAGAAGTATGTAACGACTGCTGCCTACTTCAGCCCCAGGGCCCTAGTGGCGTCGAACAGCACAGGTGGTGGCCTATCAGCGTGCCTGGCGGCGAAGGCCTAGACATGACTCTTGAGGCTTTTGCAGACAGCACACGGCGGAGATCGAGGGCTTTCAGCGGCGCCCACTTGGACGTCCCCCGTGGTGCCCCTAGCTAGCGTATAAATAGCAACCAGCAAAAGAAACGGCATTGATCGCCAAGGAATACTCACCGCTGACGTCTGCTCATTACTATTATACGGCTTGTCGCCCTCCTGACAGCCGTTGTCATCCGAGCTCGCCGGCAACTACGGTCGTCAGCATGGGCAGGGGGGATCACGTGAGGCGTGGTACCTGCGTGGAGCCATCGTGTTTCAGGCCTTTGGCAGCAATGCCAACTCCCACAATGGATGCACAAAGATCAATGAAAGACGCAGACCTTATGTACTAGTGTACACAGCATCAAGTCGCAAATGACGTGACACGAGGCTTTAGCTGCTGCGACACTCACCATCGTACACGGCGTGAATCGACGCCGCATCGCAAGCAAGCCACTGCCGCTCGCTCCACCAACCGTTGTGCCAAGCTGGGGCCCCAACCTCACTCCTAATCTCCCATTCTTCACGCTAGGTTCAACGACGTGTCGACACGCGCAACCACTACGCCCGCACCTCTCCCAAGGGCGACCCCTCCCGTCGACCAACTGCTGTCGCCTGTCTCGAGGCGCCACCTACCGCCAACTCGCCTTCTGCCCGACCATCCGCACATCTCCCGTCGTTCATGCAGCCTGCGCATTGCTAGTCAACCCAGAGCACCAAACAAGCAAACGCATTGCGGGCTCTGTGCCCTTCGCCAGACCCTGTGTCTATCGATAGTCTTCATTCTTCGTCCACCAGCGACACCTGTCGCGCGCCTCTCGCTACCACCACATCCATCTGTCCGCAATCATGTCGCACCCTGATGACAAGGTCTCCATGGACTACGGTCCCGCTCGCAACCGCTTCCCGACGCTCTTTGAGGTGTTGAGCCGCAAGACGGTCGCACCTCTAGATCTCTTCTCCTTTTACATCTACATGCGAGACCAGCAGCGATCGGTCGACTACCTAGACTTCTGGTACGATGATCGCACCCGGGGGAGTTGCGATAAGCTAACAAACCATTAGGCTCGATGTCTCACAGCACCTGCAGCTATGCCGCCTTTATGTCCGTAGATTACATCGTAGTATGATTGAGGGAACACCCGATCTGGACAACAACCGGTACTCGACTTTCGCCATGGACAATGCCGGAGAAGGACCATCCAATGAAAAGGGCGACAACATGTCCGATCAGCGATTGTCCGCCTTCCTTCGCTCCGAACGTGGAAGTCCCAATCATTCGCCACAGCACAGCCAGGGTAGCAACCAGACTGGCGACTTTCAAAGACCGAGCCCGTATGTGTCCGAGACACCCGGTGATTCGAACTCACCTGGCCACAACTCGTCTTTCGACAACACACAGCCAGGTAGAGAGGACCTGCGTGCATCGGCAGAAAAGATTCTCTACACATATCTGCTTCCAGGCTCAGAACGAGAGATCATCATCCCCCAGAGCATTTTGTCCGACGTTCAAGAAGCGATCGAAGGACCGGAGCAGCGTGCGGATCCCGAGCTCTTTGATCAAGCTAAAGACTATGTCTTCCAAGCGATGGAGCGCGACGCATACCCTGGGTTCCTGCAGAACAAGGGCCTCGGCAACCTTGTGCCTCAGAGCATGATGGTGCGCCTCATTGTGGGATTGATCAGCTTCTTCGCGGCCATGTGGACTTCGTTCATTCTCATCTTTCTGGACAAGTCAAGAGCTACACGGTGCTGGGTATGTAATGACGATTCGTACTTGGAAATAAGAGTCGACTAACGATATTTGCAGATTATTCTCCCCTTCACCATTGCTATATACCTGATATTCACCCACCAGTACATGCTCGACCCCATCATTGCTCTTGCGGGTTATAGCGAGTATACTTTCTTCGATTTCAACAAGATCAGGGAACCGTTTGTGAAGAAGACGCTCGCAAGACGCTCCCTGACGGTCCTGCTCATGTTCTTGGTGGTCACAGTAGCTCTGTGCTGCCTCTTCATCTTCGTTCCAGGTAAGCGCCTGTGATTTATGACGGCCAAGTAGTCGTCTGGTTTTACTTTCGAATGTGTAATGTTTTTGCTTCCATTCTTTGGCGTTTTCATCTGCATGGAATGGCTGCGGTATCGGAGGCGGCTTGAAAGGGAGGATATGCAGATGTACGTCAAGTGGGCGATGGATAAGATACCCCCTCGCTCCGTCGATACACGACCTATAGCAGGACTTCCTTTTGTTTGTTTGGTTTGAAGCTTGTTTTTGATGTCTTCTGGTTATGGACAGCCAGTCTCCAGGTAGAGAGCATGGCGTTCTGGAGTTAGCACCAGGCATTCAGTTAGCAAGCTCAATGGATATACAGCATCCATAACAACACAATTGTATCTGTAATTGTACAAGTGACGTGATGGCTTTGTGATATGCATGCACCCCGATGGACGTTTGGCTAACCGTTAGCATGTGGAGATGGATACCTAGGGTGCATGCATGCCAAGGCGCAATGACGTGAACCCGGGCCGGGCTCGACGGCTTCAAGTGTCAACAGCACGTGTATTGCTGGCGCAACTCGCGCCGCAACAGCTGCAATTCCCCAGGTCGCGATCGTAATTCCGTCTCACTGTTTCGTACACGTCGTTTGTTACCATATTCGTGGGAATTGCGAACCAGTAGCCCCCAGCTGATCCTCGAAACTACGGCCACTAGTCAAGTGGATTGCAACGACCAGCAAAATGAGCGGACCAACTGCTAAGAGCAAGAGAGGGCCGACGGTGCTCATGACCGATGCTCGCGACAACACACCCAGAGCACCACGACCACCACAGCGACCCAGCGTTGTACAGAGGCAGAGCACCAGCGCGCGACTCATCTCGGTCGACAACATTCTACAGTACGCTTCCGACATCCCCAGCCAGCAGCGACGAGGCCCACCAGGCAGTAGACCTATGGTTCACACGCGCACCCCTAGCGGTCGGCACCCGCTCGACCCCAGACTCTCTGGTCGCCTCATACCTCAGCACATGCCGACGCGATCAAGCAAGCTCAGCGAAAAGCTAGTTCTCTTGCCCGAGACGGATGGACAAGAAGAGGAAGAGAAGACTGAATTCGATGATGACGAGTACGACGGCCCACCTACCGACGAGGATCTTGCGAGGCGGACGACAAAGGGCGGCCCTAATGACAAAAGCTATGCGGAGCGACTGCCCAAAGCCAGGAGGACGGATAAGCTCTCGCGCGTCACGGCCTACTGCACTACGCAGGCGTACAAGATGAAGGCCACTGCTCAGTTTGTCAAGGACCAACACCATGCGCGTACCAAGCTGTACGATGACTGTCTATACACCGTGTACCATCTCCCACTCTTGCCAGGAAGCGATGGCTACCGAGTCCGCAGCAGCCCTGCGCTAAAAAGCCCAGGCGGAAAGACGGTGCTCGACGAGGAAATCGAGCGCAACGAGCAACGCGATCATCACGAGGGATACTTTGGCAACGAGGAAACATATTTCGTGCGTGACGACCATGAACTAGACCATCCCTACAACCAAATGCTCGACCGCAGAGACTCGGCCGAGAACTCGAGAGTTGCGCCCAATGCACTGAGTTTTGGTGAGATGTTTGTCTTTTCCTACGGCGTAGCAGTCTTTTGGAACTTTACCGAGAAGCAAGAGAAAGATATCCTCGCCGACTTGACCTTTTCCTCCACCGCTACTGGCGTCTCGCTCGCAACACGGCCCTTGGCCGAGTCCGATTTTGAGACTGAAGAGTTCCACTTTGAATACAACCCGGAAATCCAACGGCCACGCATGTACAATGATATGATTACCCTGAAGAGCGGCGACCACATGATTAAGTTGGCTATGAGCCACGCAATTGCTCAAAGCACAAAACTGAGCTTGTTCGAAGAAGGCATGAACAGAACTATGCTCGCAGCACAAAACGTGCCGAAGCGTCTAGCCCTTACAGGCAAGCTGGGTATGCGGAGAACAGACGTTGTCAAGATGATTGGCCAGCTCTTCACCAGTCGCGTCGAAGTGAACCTCTGTACGTCTATCCATCCAACCCTAAATCCCCTCTTGCTAACTCCCCACAGCCTCTAACATGCTCGACACCCCTAGTTTCTTCTGGGACGCAGAACCCACCCTGCACCCCCTCTACACTGCCGTCCGCGAATACCTCGAAATCAAACCCCGCATCCAGGTCCTCAACGAGCGCTGCCAAGTCTTCCTCGACCTTGGAGAAATCCTCTCCGACTCAATTAGCGATCGCAAAATGACCAAGATCACCTGGATCATCATCGCTCTCATTGTACTGAGTATTTGTATCACGTGCCTGGAGGTGCTGCTGCGCTTTGCGATTTTGCAGAAGGGAAAGATGAATGTGCCTGTTTCTGGGGGAGTCGGGGCGTTGAATGCGGTGGAGAGGATGAAGGGGGTGGGGCCGCCTGCGTATGCGGGTCCCGGGTTGCTGGCTGCGAGGGGGTTGGTTTGGATTGGGGGTGGGGTTAAGAGCTTGGTTGTGGGGTAGTGGTGCTGTGGACCCGTGAGAGAACGCTGATGTTTATTGGTGTAGCGTTGGTGTTATGTGGAATATGATTAGAAGTAATGCAGGTATTACCTAGGATCTTGGGGAGAACTTAAAATTCGTACGTTGGCTTTTTCCTTTTGCTGGTAGAACATAGCGAAGGGCGTTTAGGTTATATATTATTTCTCTACATTTTGCATATTGTAATCGACTGGTTACGCTACTTAAGTATCACGTCTTTTTTTTTGTCGTTGCCGAAATTTTCTCGGGCTCTACTCAGTATGCGTGTGTATAACAGTACTTTTATTTCAGCTACTAGCAGGGAAGTCATTACATGAACCTACTCAACTACGCACCCATTTCCATTACCTACACGATCTTCCCTTATTTTCGCCCCTATAAGCATAAGCACACACACACACACACACACAAAGCATATATTCCCCGAGTCCAAATCGGAATATATGAAGTAAGTAGTCAGTATCACATCCACCCCCACTTTTCGTTTTAAACACTCAACCTAGAAAGTTACACTGCTCCTCTTCCCTACATCCTTATTCGAGGAAACTAACACTTGGAATTGCTCTATGACATGCGGAAGATAAGACATTTATAGCATCTGACTCTTATTTTCTCGCATTACGTAGCCTAATTCAATATCTCTTGATTCTCTTTATAATCTCCCATGTAAAAATAAAGATGAAAACTACGTGTACTAGCCTCTTTATGCTAAATTGCACTTTACCACTACACTCTCGCAACCTATACTTTTGTTTGATGAACATAAGGAAGTGGTAATATCCAACCAGAGTAATCTGCTTTTGCTATCTTAAGCACTGTTTGAGAAACTAGAATCTAGACCAGCCATAGTTGTTCGCAACAGAAAACGGGGTTAGGCTGCAATGAACTCTTTTCTTGGGTGTTCCTTTCTTAATGTGTATGTAGAATGTGTAAACTGGGTGAAAGAAAAAGGAAAAGGACAGGAGATGGGAGTAGGAAATAACGGAGGCCTCAAGGTATTTTGCGTACGAGTTAGAATATGTTGTGTATATTCCAGAACTAAGAGGTATAAGTTTCTTACTATTATGGGCTGTGTGGAATAGAAGTATGGAGATTATGTGTTGGGTCGATTTTGTACAGATATACATGTGATCATCAGGTAGTCAGAGGACTAATAAAGAATGTTGAGGTAGGGAGAGGATATGGAGCTTACTATCAAAGGAAAGCAAGAGAGTTTTTGAATATACAGGAGAAGAAAAAAGAGTGATGTGAACGTAGCCATAAGAGTTTCGTAATGTTCAGTCTAGGTCGTAGGGTATACCCAATACCAATTTCATCAACCCCCACCATTCTACTCCGCATCAACCGCAAACTTCTTCAAGTCCTCCATCGCCAACCCCCTCAACGCCTTCTCATTCGTAGCCTTGAGCACAACCTTGGGCACCTTCTTATCATCCAGCCCCGTCCGCGCATCAAACGCCTCTTTCCAGCGACTCACACACAAACACCACTTGCAGCCATCCGTCAGCCCCACCTGGCGCAAATCATTCCCACGGGCCGCCGAAAAGTCCAGAAACTCTTTTGAAACGATGCCCGCAATGGCATGGTTACCCGCATCCGACGGCGGCACCTCGCAGTATCCGGTCCGCGTGAAGCCCGTTAGCGGTTGAGTCGAGTGTAGTGCGAGGGGTTGCTTGAAAACTGTATCCAACCCCAGAAAACATGATTAGCAAAAACATGTCCATCTTTTCTTGTCAATCTTGGGAAATTCTCCGCAAATTGATGGATAATGCATGAACCCCCCCACCTTCGCTCAACCTTGGAACGAAAATTCCTGAAACACGCGGTGCTTGACAATCACACACAACAACCCCCCAACCCTGTTTCATACAAAACGAACAAAAGGGGGAGGGCACGGTTCGTACGTCATCTTTCCCCGGAAATAAAACTCAGGCACAAAACCAGCCGACGGTCCAGGGAATTCGTTTACCCCCACCGCAGGGAGGAAGGAGAGAGAGAGAGAGAGAGAGAGAGAGAGAGAGTGTGTGTGTGTGTGTGTGTGTGTGTGTGTGTGTGGGAGAGGGGTGGGGGTAGGGGCCCAAACTCCTGTGTATCCACGGATTCAACATACCATTCAGCGCCATATTCGCAGAAGAAGAAGAAGACCCCTTCCCACCCTCCTTAACACTCAGCACACCGTCCCACTTAATCTGCACGTCGTGAACGTGCGCGTACTCGCGTTTACTCGGTGAGCGAACGAGATTCGACAATAGTATTCGTAGTAGGCGCATCAAAATCTAATCAACCCGATACAACAATCAAAGAAAAAGAAATCGAGAGAAAGGAAGAGAGAAAGAGAAAAGAAGATAGAGATGCGGGGCGAGTTAAGTCGTTACGTGCGTTAATGTCTGATGATGATAAGAAAGAAGAGTGATGATGATCAACATTGCGTCACTCCGAACAAACCGCTTTAAACTAGCGCCAGTTTGTTTGAAAGAAAAAAAGGTTAAAGGAAAGGTTAGGGCTGAGAACCACCGCTGCCCAGAGAAAAAAGTGGATGGCGTTGAGCAGGGATGATGCACAGCAAGTAGCAGCAGCAGCAGTCTGTAGATCCTCCCAAGTTTGCGCAAGCGGGCTTTTTGGCTCTGCTTGGAGCACACGCCCCCCGGCTCCCGGGGCTGTGGGGCTTGGCAGGTTTTGGGGGGGGGGGGGGGAGGAGGGTGGGCAGGATGTGCTGCTGGTGCTTGGTCTGGATGCTGCGATCGGCAATAAGGCGATCATTTTGGGGGGTGGGGGGAGGCTGGGTCCTCTTTCTTACTTACTATGAATAGTTGGCGTTTTATAAGTAACGTTTATTGGATTTCGCTATTGTCGTGATGGGTATACGAGGAGGGGAAAAGAAGGGTATTCACATTCACCTTTCACGAGTATAACCATATATTCCTCATACAGGTCGCGCGGCGCCCGGGTTCCCTGATAGAGATGTGGGCGGCGTTAAGCCAGCTTTTTTTAGCGCATGAATGGCTGGATGTGTGATCGTGTTGGTGGATCACATTTTCCCGTCAAAACAGCCATGTACTGGGCAAATGGAGCTCTGAGAGCTTACGAACCAAACATCAAGAGACAGACCGCAAAAAGCTTCTGATAAGATTCGAGCGTGTATTCTATACTACTAATGCTGAGTTTGGAAACAAAAACCGTTTTGAGTATCTACCGGCATAAAAGATCATCGCGTTCATAGACGTTGGGAATAAGTGTCGGCGAACCGCACGTACATAGGCGTGCAAAACATGACCAAACATTAACACCATATCCACAATGCACCCTTGAACATCTGTAAACCCAAGAAACGCCCGGAAGAAACACCCAAATCAGAAAACATGTCCAAACACCTTTTCAGGGTATGCAGATTGGCCGCCATTCTTAGCAGACTGGTAGGCTGTGGGTATATATGCAAAGCTGTGCTGTAATGAAATCAAGCGCGTACTGAATGCAGTTTTCATAAGCGATAACACGATTCGCTCCTTCATCGGTGGTGCATACCAGCACCCGCCTTAATCTCTCTCTTCATCTCCTCCAGCTTCTTATGCATCTTGAGCAGATCGTTTCGCTGGGCCTCGGTTGGCGGCTTCTCCGCTTCCGTCAGCTCCCAGTACAGCTCTTCGTACTTCTTATAGTACTTCTGGAACTTCTGCGAAAGCTCGACAGTCTGTCGGAAGCTCAGGCTCGGCATGGATGGGGATGTGGTAGACGAGGAAGAGGCGCCCGGCGACGCACGAGGGTTGTTGTGGTGGTAGCGCGAGGCGAGGCCAGTGTCGATGTTGGCAACCTTGCGAACCTTTGGCGCGGTAGAAGGAGTGTTGGATGCAGATGAGTCGTCGGACTTGCGTTTAATTGAGCTAGTGGATGAGGGCGCAGAGGCATTGGGCTTGCCATTGCCATGTGAGGAGGTTTGTTTCGGAGTTGCGCGGCTGACCTGCGGCTTCTTCGCCACGATGTTGTGGTTGTGAATGTCGCTGTCAATGTCGTTGGCCTTGCGTTTGAGTGAGCGGTCGGAGTTGGTGGAAGATTTGGCAGGCGATGCTGCGAGAGCCTCATGGGCAGGATGTGACTGGTCCAAGTCGCTGGCGTTGATGGGCGGCGAAGCTGAGAGCGGCGAGGGGTTTTTCGGCTTGGTGTTTACTGGCATGGTGGGCTTGAAGGGCCTCTGAACAGGGCGGTCCCTCTGTGCATCTCGCACTGGCATTTTGGGCTTTGCACGAATCGTGGTATTGCCTTCTGCAGTGGATGGCTTCTTTGCACGGGTTTTGGAAGCGTCGGTTGAGGGTGTGCTGTGGATAGGAGGTGCAGCGGGGCGTGAAGTCGAAGTGACTGGTGTAGACGTGGCTAGGGTCGAAGCTTTTGTGGGTTCCTCTTTCACCTCCTTCACCTCCTTCACTTCTTTCACCGCTAGCTTCTGGCGCGCCAAGTACTTTTCCTTGATTGACGACTTGGGCTTGATCTCAATCTCCTTTGCAGCCTTTTGCTTGGACTCGCCATCCTTTGTAGCCCTCGGCTTCCGCTCAGGGACAGTTTTGTCGACCGCCTTCTTAGCTGCAGGCTTCTTCTTGGTGAGATCCGAAATCTTGTGCATGGGGGTGCTTGCTTTCGGCTTCGCCTCAGGTGCTTTCACTGTCGAACGTGACAAACAAATGCCCTGGCCTCGTTGGTCCTGGGGCAGCAGAATCTGCCAGAGTTTGTCGTCTTTTGACAGTCGTTGGCGATCAAACGACTTGATGGCGCTGTCAATGGCCTGCTGACGCTCCTCCGAGCTCTGATAGGGAAACTTGTAGGGGTTGACTTCACGAAAGGACTTGTCAGTGAGTTGCCACTTGTCGGAGTCGGTTGTAGAGCGTTTCGCAATCTTGGGCAAAACATCTCGGATGCTGGCTAGCGAGGTGCGGCACGTGGCAGCGAGCGAGGCCTCTGTGGCCGGCTCGCGCGCGAGAAGGTGGATGACGGGGACACGGAGGGCGTTGACAACGACATCGTGGCTGTTTGTGGGTTGCGAAGTGGGTGGGCGCTTGTGCATGGGCGACGATGGTGCGCTCAGCAGGGGTGAAGGCGCAAGGTGCGAGGATTTGAAGCCCGTCGAAGGGAAGCGACGATGGGCCGGGGTGCGTCCTGGTGTAGCATCGGCAACAATTGTCCTGCAGCAAGTATTGTTAGTCCTGGTGTGCACAAATGGTTGCCATAACATTATGGCTGCATCATGCGACAAGGGTGCTCGAGTCTCTCGACAAAAGGCAAAGGGGCAAGAGCAGGCGCAGGGCCACTGGGGAGGCATACTTGTTGGCTTCCTTGAACTCGGAGATGGCAGCCATGTTGCTCCTCAGCTGCTCCAGCGCTGAGTCTACGCCTGCCGTGACATCTTCCGCCTTGTGGACTGTGAGACTGTGGTAGATCAAACCGGCGAATTCGAGTTGGCTGTCGTCGCTGCTATCCTCGCTGGACTTGTATAGTTCGTATCGATGAAGCTCGGCGCTGCTCTGCAGCATGTGCGTCTTGTCGCCATATTTGAGTTGCTGTTGTTGTGGTTAGCTCAGGTCATGCTGCATTACCCCGTTCCCCCCAGTCGAACGCCCCATGACGACGACAACGACGAGCCATGGCAGCTAGCGTGCAGGCAGCATGGGGCTTCGGGGGCTATGGGTGCACACGTACTGGAGTGCGTCCAAAGACTATCTGTGGTTGCTTTCCGCCCCTGGCATTTTCGAGGAGCTCGTCGATGATGTCCTGGGTAATGTCCACCTGCATGGCCTGGACGGAGGTGCATTTGGCGTCCTTGGATGCGATGTCGCCATCCGGGGCTCCGATGAGGGCAATGCCGCCCGTGGGAAGTAGCTGTGCAGCCATCTTGGGGTGGGTGGCAGCCAGGCTTGGAAATGAGGTGGAACGAGGTGTGAAGCTCGCACCCGGGTGTTGCTAGGAAGTGCAATGCATGGAGAGAGCACCCAGGCACCAAGCGGAGAGCAAGCAGGTGGCCGGGTTCGGGGCAGAGGCCTGGTGACGAAGGCGTCTGGTGTTTGAATGAGGCGGTGGTTTGCTCAGAGAGGACGAAGGAGCGAACAAAGGGCTCGTTGCTCGGAGGACCGTGAGGACCGTCAGACAGGTCAGACAGCTTAGGCCGTCATAGCGCGGCGGATTCCAGCGAACGAGCGTGCACGGGGGTCAAGGTACGATGATGAAACGATTGGTCGTCACGCACGCAGGACCAAGGGCTAGGAACAACCAGACAAGAATAACGACAAAGTTCCAGAGTCTTCGCACACGGGCGATGTGAAGAAAGGTGAGCTGGGCGGGAAGCAGCGTGAGGTGTGGTGGTGGTGTGCCGGCGAGAGGGCCGGCAGCCAGGACGCCAGCCAACCAGCCAGCCAGCGGACGCCGCATGCCTCGACGGCGGTGGTCCCGAACAAGGGCGCATAGAACGATTACGCCTGTCCAGGGTACCGAATCCAGCCCCGGCCCGCTTTGTACTCACACAAGTACCTGTCTTTTTTTTTTGCAGCACCAGCTGCAGCAACAGCACGGCAAGGCGCACGGCAGAGCAAGGCAAAGCACGCCGCCTGGTGTTTATTTTGGCCTCTTTGCAACCGGGCTGGCGGGCACGGGGGAGGGAGTTAGATGGAGTATTAGTAGTGTGTAGGCCGGCGGCGTCAAGGGCGGAGACGGGCTCCAGTCGACTCGATCCACTTGTCCGGCGCCATGGTCCAACGCTTGCTGACCAAAGCTGCACAGTGTGCTGAGTCTGGCAAAGTCTGGGCAGGTCCGCCGTCACTCGTGGGAGTATTTGCGGGCAGCAAATGGCTCTGCGTTTAAAAAACGACGGCGGAATTTGGGAGCCGGGCCCTGTCGCGCGAGGCAGGGCAGGGTCGCTTGCGGGCGTACCTGTTTCGCATCCATGGCTGGGCCCATGTTTGAGACCACGGCGCAGCGATGCCTCAGACGGGCGCGCAGCCAGCCTGGGGGACACGACACTGAGATTGGAGGCCTCTCTGCCAACGAGGCTTGCATCGCCTGACAAGCAGGAAAAAAGAAAAGGCAGCGGTGCGACTTAGGAAAAGGGCGGATGGGAGGGAGCATCGCGTCACCCGCGCTGTCATCCGGCATGGCGGGTACATAGGCATCGGTGGTGATGGGTGATGGGTGATGGTGGGTGGTCAGGATCAGCCCGGCCTATTTTGGTGCTGCCGGGAGCCCCGCACCCTCTGCGGAACAGCCCACAGCCCACAGCCCACACCACACAGCAATAGCAGCGTGCGCAGGCATAGCAGAGCGTGCGGTACTCATGCCGGCACCGCGAGCCAGTCCATCTATCCCTCCCTCCCTTCACGACTCCATCCTCACACGCCACGACGCCCTCTGGTGCGGGGCGGGCCTTGTGTTTGCTGACACTCGTCGTGTTTCCTCGCCCAAACTCGGGCGGCGGCACGAGTCAAGCCATGGGTGAGTGTGTGTGCATGTACGAGTAGGTGTACGACCCCCCACCTGCTAGCATTCAGCCACACCTTTCCACCGCACCCTACACAGTACACACTACATACACCACCCATCCCAGCCAACGTGCGCCCGTACGCAGAGAAGATTCCATGATTCGCACACGGCGTGATGGCTGCAGCGTCATGCGCAATGGGGACGCACTACTTACCACCCTAGCCCACGGCCCTCCAAATCAATCCGCTCCGGAACCTCACGCCCACCTCGGCCACCGGCAACAATAACCGACCGCTAAGGGAACCACCATGTACCTCGACTTGTCACGCCCGCCTCTGTACTCCAACCTGTACCCCAAACACGGCCGGCAGCCCCTCCATCGCTGCTGACCTGACCTGACCACACCACACCACACCACACCACACCACTGCCGTCTGCAAACACGGCTGTCAACTACCCATAGTATCATCGCCCTCTGAGCCCCAGCCACTTTGTTTGGTCGCTACGCTGAACAAGCTGCCTTGAATCTGCATGCCTTTTGCCTTGTGAGAGCCCCGTCCGACACAAGTACGTACGTACGTACGTACTTTTATCTATGTACCTGCAATATCCAGATGCCCCTGGTCGCCTCTTTTGGCCATATTGCCCTTGCAAACCAGCCGCATGGCACATAGATGAAGTGCGACAGCCTTTTGTCACAAGACCGTCCAACCGCCAGCCAAGCTGACGACTGCAATGTCAGTGCGGATGCTTTTTTTCTTCATCGGCTTGCCCCTCGTGTACCTAACGTCTACTTTTTTGATTTTGAGATCGGAAGAAATCTCTGTGCAAAGCTAGCCTTGATCTTGGCATGTCATATGGCAATGTCAGCAGCATCCACTGCTACGTACCTTGTCAGAGGGCCATACAAGAAGATATCACCATTTGTGCTTTTTTTCTCCCTCTCTCCTCGTATTGCACTAGCCCATGTCCCGAAATGTATTAAAAGCCCGCAGTGGTGCTTGCATCGGAGCCATTCTTGGACGAATGGGACCAACAGGCACTCTCGACCAGAAGCACTTTGCACTCTCCCCGCACTGCAAGCATCCACACCCACACCCACACCCACGCCCACGCTTATCTCATCTAATTAGGATGGACAGTTGAATCGAGCCCGGCCCCTAGATTGCCAGACTGCACATAGTACTATGCTCATCACCTGCCTCGTCGGCCAAAGTTGCAGCGTGCACAGTTGCACATGTCTACGTCAAGACTCTGATCGAGAAATGTACTTTTTTTTCCCTCTGGCAGCTGACTGGCGGCAAGCCTGCGTCATGTGCTCTGAGCTACGCGCGCTGCCCTCGCCAAGGGCCAGACCGTTTGGGAGATTGAGACCCGGGGGGGCCATGTATCATATCGCCTTACATTCCCATTCGTAATGTCGGTCGTGGTGGTTACGGTCCAAGTCCATCGGACCTTGAACCCGCATGCATGAACGGCCGCCGTTTGCGAAATGAAAGCCGTCACACAATTGTCTCCTTCCGTATCAATCTCGCGTTTCAATGCAGTCGGTGTCTTTTGGGCCAGACGTTATGTACTATGCCCCAAGTTTAGTAGCTCTTCGACAGCTCAGCACCAACTGCTATGCCAAAGCTGAACCACACTCAGCAGGCGCCGCTCTCCTCTGCACGAGCGCCACGTCAAACACGCCCTAATTGCACATCCAGCCCTCTTTGATCAAAACTCGACGACCCAAACTTCATCGCCCTACGCACACCGCCCCAATTTCCCTATTCGCTCTAGCCCCCTAAAACGGCAGACACAAAAAAAAGAAGAAGAACATGGGTACGGTATATGCAGTCAAGCCTAAACAGCAACGACGACAACAACAACGACGACAAACAGCAACAGCAGCAGCAGCGAAACCATGTATATAGTAACTATTAGGAAGCTGCCTTTGCCCTGATCGACGACAAAGGCAGATCCCTTCCACTCTGAAGTTGGAGCCCTGCCGTTGATGCGATGCGCCCTGACAGCAAAAAAGGCGCGGCGCGTGCTGCGGCCAGCCGGCCACCCACCACCACCACCCAAACGCACGCACACACGCACACGACCTCCCAGGTTGGGGCTTGCACGCCCGCGCCGCCCTTGCCCATTTGCCCACTCCCTGCCTTGTCCTTTTGCCCCCCCCCCCCGGCTACTGATCCCGCCCACGTCGGCGGCGGTAGTGGCGGGCGTGCGTGGGGCGCCCCGACGGATTAACGCCGTCGATTGCTCCTGCTCCCACTGCGCAAATGCCCACGCCTCGACTGGCTTTCTGCTCTCTCTACTCTCACTTGCTCGCATCGCTCGCATCCCTCGTTCGCTGCGCGCATGAGCCATGAGGGGGGGCTGCATCCCCCATTTTTTTTGGGTGGATCAGGCTATGTGCTAGCTTGCTTACCGGGGGTGCGTCATGCTGCAAGTATCATACATATGTACGTACATACTTGTATATAACATGTATGTAGGTGATATTGCCCCAAAATTGCTATACGAAGGCCCGTTTGGCAAAAGGGAAAAGAGAAGGGAGGGGGGGGAATAAACATGACCCGGTTCAAACTTTGATTTCATTCTAGGAAGCTGTATGTGGCATGTGTTGCGTATTTTAGCGAAACACACGGCTGTGCACACGTAATGGGAACTACTCTTACTAGAGCGTAGTAGGTTCACGTCATCCCCGAACCCCCCCAAAAAACCATACCCGAACGGAAAACAAAAAGGGTAATCAACCCGCCTCCATTGCCAGAGTTTCCATGGTTCAACATCGTAGATAGCGTGGGTCGCCCCCAATGTTGCAGCAACGTCTTTGCCTGCTTCCAAGCCCGGTCTTACCTGCCCTAGCACAAGAAAGGGACAAGCCAAGACCACAAAGCCTCCTGCTGATGCCGCCGGACAAGTTCTCTGCCCCCAGAAAACCAAAGAAGAATGAAGAAGAAGAACAAGAACAAGAACAAGAAAGCAATTGCATTGCAAAATTACCTAGTAGACCGCAAGTCTCCAATTTTTTTTGCTCACAAAAAAAACCTACTAGGCCTCCATCTTTCTTCAATAAAACAGCCTTGCATGAAACTTCTGTTGCTAATCCCATTCAAACTCACGCCACCAACGCCTTATTTCCTCTCTTGCTCAAGAAACCCAAGTAAGACCCACAAACCGAACCCCTCCGTTCATCGGCAAGTCTGTTGCGCCAAATAAAGAAAAAACCTCCCTTCCCCCTCCAACCGGACCGACTAGTCACCCGTTTCCCACATGTGCCGGGATACAAGTGCATCCATCTGCCAGAGGCAAGCAAGGCCCTCTCCCCTCCACTCAACAGAACCAGAGATACACCGGCGGCCGAGAGAAGTCGCTTTCCGTAAAACCCTGACTTGGTATAAAAACATAAGAGGGGGGGGGAAACGGAACGGAAAGAACGGAAAGGAATAGTAGTCCCGTGATATGTATGTACTATGTGTGTACTGTATCGATCAGGCGTCTAGTTCCTCGGGTGCTTTGTGGCGAGCCAGTACGAGACGCTTGTACTCTGCAGGGTCCTTGTCCCAGAGCTCGGCAGCCTGGCCGTTTAGAGGGCTCGAGCTGTATTGTTTGTTAGTTTCCATACATATCTTATACATATATCCACTACTTTGCGCTTCTTGTTCTCCTTCTTGTTGTTGTTGTTGTTGTTGTTGAGATGACATGATAGCATATGAAATAAGAACTACTACTATTACTACTCACTTGTTCGGTTCACCCAGCAAACTCTGCAGACTCAACAGCACAGTGGTGATGTTGTAGATTGCGCTCCACTTGTCCTTGAGGATGTCGAGGCAGATGCGGCCCGAGAAGTCGACGTTGGGGTGGTAGATGGGGGTTTTGTAGAGCACGGTTGGTGGGCTGTAGGGATAGTTGTTTGCGAATTCCATGGAGAGCTTGAAGACGAGGTTTGCGTAGGGTGTGTCTGCGGGGCCGTCGATGGTGGCGGTCCACTTTGTCATGTTTTCGTCGTCGGGGAAGGCCGTGATGCCGGGCGTGGGCTTGGTCATGATGTCCATGAGTTCCTTTTGGAGGCTGGAGATGTGAGTTAGTTCTATATCGGCGATGGCGAAGGTGGAGGGGGAGAGACGTACCGTTGAGCAACAGTGGCGTTGGGCCCGTTTCCTCGTCCATTCGATGAGAGAGCCATTATGTTTGTCGTTCAAAGTCGTACACGCCGTTAGGAGGTTCTACACAACGCTGCTACCAAGCACCGCAGAAAAGTCCGGTATGCACTGCAAAGACTACCCTGAGATCCAGCTACTAGCCGCAAAAAAAGGGAGGAAGAAAGCGCAGCAAGGTCTCGTAAAGGAATAAAGAAAACTTCTGTATTTTTCGTACTGATGTTCGTTGAATAAAGGGGGAGGTGAAGAAGCGTAAATCGTAATTGTGAATGTTCGAGTTGGCAAAGCACCCCACTACTAAATGGACTATTTGGGCGTGTGTATTGTTGTGTTTATGCGTTTGTGGGTGTGTCCCTGCGTCTTGCCGGGGAAACCACGCGCGCCTGTGTGGCCCAGCAACAGGGATCCCATGCGAGGCGCGCGCGACGACCCGCTTACTAGATGGCGCAAATCGAATCGCGCACGGGTGATCGATGCGCTCTCCTTGGAATCGCGGTACGAGCGAGGGTCGGATGTGGTACGATGTAATGAGATTGTTCTGGGATCGGATGATGGGAGGGAGGGGTAGGCGGGTGTGGCTACGGGGGACATGGAATAGTAGACTGGGACTACCGTCGTGTACGTTGTACGTGACGAACACAGTTGTATGTAGGAATAGCAGCACTCCTGTTTTTCTCAGTGTGATATGCACATATTTGCCACGCCTGGAATCTCTTCCATAATCAGTATATCGTGACTGCACGATGCAACCCCTCTGGATTATGTCTCGGAAACAAGTACTCATGTACCAATAGTTAGCTTAGCCTACACGTCGTTACTTCTTAATACGTCTGTACAGTAAGATTAGCAACACCAGCGAATCAAATCAAACCTGCCTTGCATGAAATAATGTAAAATTCAACCTCATCAAAATTCACCCCAAAAACCCTCCTACCCTCTCAACTCCTCGCTAGCCATATCATTCTCTCATCACCTCAATCCTCATCCAACCCCTTGATCCTCTTCTCCTCAATAAGCCTCCTCTCCAAACTACACCTCAGCACTCTCTTCTCCTGCCCCGCCCCCACTCCCTTCAAACAATCATCTTCCCGATCCCAATACACAGCCCACCCATACCCTCCCTTTTCCTCTTCCACAGCAACAAGGCACTCCTCATCATCCAGTGTCAACCCTTGCTCATCTTCCGTCCAATCCCACGGTCCGATTTTATGCTTCTTCGCTTCAGATCGGGGTCCGTAGCGCAACTCGCGTGTCTTTTTGTGTGCATAGATCCAGTTTAGCTTTGGTTTCGCCGGTCTTGGGGCGGTTTTTGGTGCGGGAGAGGGAGTAGACGGAGCAGAGGATTCGGGTGAGGAAGGAAATGGATGCGAAGATGGTGGCACGGTGCTGACGAGACCGAGGACTGGGGCTGCGGGCATGGGGCGGTGCGGGAGTTCGGAGGAGGGGAAGGGTAGGTAGAATCCTGTGAATGGGTGGGGAGGCGGTTCGTTGTTTGGACCCGGTTTTGGGAGTCCCGTTTTGGAGTTTTTGGGCCAGAGGCGTATCTACATTTTCATTAGCACGTTGCCTTTTCTTCTTCTCCCATGTAATGCTGTGTTGTGCCAGGTCGTGAAGCGGGTGTCTCGTACCTTTCCGTCTTTCAAGACGACAATCGCGCCATGCACCTCATCTTTCTTCCTGCTCTTCGCATCACAAAAGACGTCGAGATAAAACTCTTCCTGGCGCTCTTCGGCCTCTGCTTCTTCGTCTAGAAGCCGTTGCTGGTGCACGGCTTCGTTTGCGCCTATGGCGATTGGTATGCCAGCTAATGTCAATGCGTACATTGCTTCAGATTGGCGGGTAGGGAGTCGTTGAAACGGCTGCAAGGGACACTGGACGCGCCCGCATTGGAATCATGCTTTGGTGGTGTAAACAAGATGTCGGGACTCTCTTCCGCGCGATGGTGTCATAGGCGGAGCGCAGCTGCGGGACAGTTCGGTTAAAGCTTGGAAGATTCCTGGGGTGCCCACTTCTTCCTTGCAACCTTGAATGTCCTTGGAATGTTGTTTCTGTATGTTTATGCTGTTACTGTTCTACCGGAATATGTGCTTTGCCTTCTTTTGTGTTTTTGGGATATGACATGGTGTCGCAACTAGTGCTCTCAATCCATTGCCATATCTTACTACATCCAAGTTGGTTACAAACCAGTGACTCTACATTCTAATATCGTGATGGAAATACATCGCGTGATATATTTTATTACTGGTTTTATTGCCGCCTAGTAGATCAACAATATACGCGTTAGGGCCATGTAGACATTTTTCGCATCCAAAAGTGGAAATGCTATCTAGCGGCTAGTTTTACTATTGTTTAGTGGTATCTCAGATGCTCAGCTTCTAAGAGGAAAACAATGGCGACTTTGCCTACATGAGATGAGTATCAAACCCGACAACAACTAATGGAGTCTTTTTGAGATGGGCACTAGTATTACAAGAACCACCCGAATACGTAAAGAGCGGGCATGTAACCTTCCAATAACAAGCACCTACCCTTCTAAATCACTTTTCTTGAAGCAGGTATACAAGAGCCGACCGAAATGGGTAACCTATATTATGCTCATCCGCTTTCCAATGACATCTAGCATTGTATTCGGCATCTTCATCATTAAGCACCCCCTTCAATCATCCCATCGTTAACAATACTCTCGTAACACAACACCTACTTTCGCGATGTCTTCCAAAAAAGAAGAAAACCCCCCGGAAACTGAAAACTCGTTGGGACGTCTAACTGTGCAGCAACGAATCCTCTTGAATGCATTCGTAAATGTTACCAGGATTGAAGACATTCACCTAGCACACATGTTGCTAGAAAACAGCGGTTAGATTCCGCTCAATGCAGTCAATCTTTACGAGCAAATGGTCGGTGACGCACTTGGGGACATAGATGCAACTGGCCAGACCGACAAACAGTCTGAAAACAAGTAAAAGAAATACCCAGTATCATCTTGTTGCAATTTTTATACTGACCGCTAGTCTAGAAAGCGAGAAGCAAGCTCCTCACCCACCGGACAACCAAGTACACGCAGACGTGAACCCCCAACCGCGACCCTTTCAGGCCCTTCCTCCGTTAGCGCCACAAAACCAAAGTCCCGCCATGGCTCCCCAGAAGATGCTTCTTCAGACCCGCCACGAACATTCCATCGCTTGAGCCCACTCAGAGACATGGAGCACCTCGACGCCCAAGCCGCAATCCTCCAACCCTTCCGTACAGACTACCTCCCCGAACTCAACTCCAACGCCCCTCTCTTCCTCCCTGCCGACGCAAAACGCCATTGGTACTTAGGCTACGTCTACCGCTGGCACAACTTCAAAGTCGCAGCAATCGAGCATCTCAAGCACACCAAATGCATCGAAGCCTTCCGCCAACTCCAAGGCTTCCAAGTCCACTTGCCACGTGCTACATCCCCCTCTCCCCCCTCATCCCCCGCTCCCGCAAGCCTAGAATCCCACTTCACCCGTGAAGTCCTGCAGCCCGTTGAGAAGATCTACAACACGCTACTTACCACGCAGGCCATGCGGGATATCTGTGGCGATGACATGCCGCAGGGCATCTGGCTTGAGAGGGGCACGCAGAACGAGGAGTTGGCTGCGAAAGGAATCAAGCCGGCGTTTGTTGTTCGCTCGAAGGGTGCGAGTGGGAAGGATGAAGTGAGGTTGCTGGGGCATGCGGAGTATCTGGGGGGAAGACCTGGGGCGTTGACGCGGGCGATCAAGAATGCGGGGAGGAATACGTGGGGGAGTCTGCGATGTGTGTTAGGTAAGATGAACCTTTCCCCCTCTTCCATACACTTGATGATGAGAGACTGAGAGATGCGTGGTTAGGCGATGTAGCGCGCTGGATGCTCGAGTACAACACGCAATACGGGTTCCTGGTCAGCAGCGACGAGATCATGTTTCTTCGCTTTGCTATTGTGTACAAGGGCAAGAAGATGAATGTAGCGGAACCGGGAGAACCGGAGCGGGTTGCGTTTGTGTATACAATGGTGGAGCCGCATATTAATTACTCGGATCCGATTAAGCACAGCGAGGTGCTGGATGAGAGTAAAGGCACTGTTACGGTTAGGTTGGCGTTGCTGTTTTTGCTGCATACGACTGTGATGCAGAGGTTTCAGATGCCCGAGCAAAAGGGAAACGCTGCACAGTATTTTCCGACGACAGAAGCTGGGAAGAAGTTTAGGTTGTAGGCAGCAATCGGGAGCTTTGGATACGACGAGTTCGCTATGGAGTAAAGGGTGGGAGTATTTCGTCAACGGTGGTGTATGTTGTAACACTATTGATATAAGGCAGTGAGCAAGTCTCGATAGGAAATTCAACAGCAGACATATATTTCTAGACAGCTTCGAAAAAGATGTAACATAAAACTGTCTGCTTGGAAATCTTGAGATATCAGGTCTCTGTTCAACTCATCTCATTCTACATCACAATAACAGAAAGTCAGATGGATAAGAGAAATATTTGTCTAGAACGCTATGTAGCATGACGAGATACAAAGACAAGCTTCTGGCCCATGGGCGACTATATTAGCCTAACCACCTCCCTGGCAACGTCTAGTAATTGTGGCTTATCTACCATGCACCCACCACCTTGGCTACCCCATGTCTCGAGCTCCATGCCTCGGAACGTAAACAGCAGCTGACAATCCCATTGGACAGTCTATACCCTGTACCCTTTGATTTCACTTTCCAAGACACCGATCTCTTGGATGATTGTTGGTCGCCGTAGATTCAACGCTGCAAGTCGGTGGGTATTGTGGCTGTAAGGCATTGAGGGAAAGTGCCTCGGCCCATTAGTACATTGTGATTGGCAAAGCGTCCTTTATTTGAACTTAGATATACGAATATGGAGGGGTGAAAGGTGTTGGTCGGAACTTGTAGGCATCATCTGAGAGGGCTCCCAAGACGGCTTGGTGTTGAGATACTGCATATGCCTCGGCTAGTGCACCAGCTTCTGAGGTGTGATTGGGCGAAGGAGACTGACTTGTTTATCTAAATCTGTAGTCGAGGAAGAATCCGGGGTAGAGGCGCATTGGGGGCTCCCAACCACCAGGATACGAGACGAGGATCGCCACTTGTAATGGGTTGGCTCGTAGGGCATTTACACGTGGGTTTTCTGTGACTAGGGTGGTGCTTTTTCCAGGGCACAGTTGAGATAGCCGCTTGGCAAATGCAGTTGGGGCCCTAGTCTCTCGTCAAAGATCAATAATGGATCGAGAACGTCGGCTAGATCTGACGGCTCAGCTCGGTGTGTAGAAACCATTACTTGCGATGGCTGATGGGGGCTTCACAGTTGTTCCAGTCGATGGACATGATGGGATACGACTGTTTTGCAAAAGCCAGTAAGATGCACGGGATGGGGTGATTGCGCCACAGATCTAAACGCAAACAAGTATTGCTGAGGGCACCCTGCGTAGTGACGGAAATCAAAGGAGTTTGTTAGCCGGAGTTTTTGCATGCGTGACTAGATCGTGGAGACTGCTGATCAATCGACAGGGACATCGGTAGGCGAATCAGGCCAGAATACGGATGCGTGAAAGGACAGTGCAGCTGTCAAAGGGCGGTATGGCGCCGAGTTGACGAGCTAGTAATAGCAACCGGCACCTTGCAGGTCATTAGTATCTCCCCGAGGGCCCCAAATGCCCCGAGTACCGCAAAGGCGCGTCAGTTGATGCTGTGTCGAAGAGACAAATTCGACGTTTCCCGCATGTTTGTCATGATCCACAGAGTTGCACCAACGGGACGCGTACACCTATTCCACCAAGGAGCAACGACAGGGAGCACTTCAGAGGCTCCAAATGACGACACATGGATGTCTGTGCCAAGGGACCGGCGGCTTGGGGCGCGGGCCATGGCAGCAATGCGCCCTTGTTCGCATGCGGCTCGTAGCCACACATGGGACAACGCCTTCCGGAGCAGTATCCAAGTCGGGACAAGATGTTGAGCGTGAAAATGGGCCCAGTGGAGCAGCAGCAAGCGAGACTACCCCGCGCGTGTAATCGAAACACATTCCAAGGAGGCCGGGTGCCACAGCGTCAAGAGGGCGGACAAAGAACGAGAGTCGTCGGTGACAGCTCGGTTAATTCTGCGTGCGGCTCGTCGCGTTCCTGTCGGCAGCATGGATACAGCGGATAACAAGACAGGCGTCGATGGGCATAAGACAGTTTCGGCTTTGCTTGGAATGTCTTGTTGTCGACAGCGGGCGAGATGGGGGACGGCAGCATGCGGGGTCCCCACATGCCAAGCGTCTCCCCAGCTTTTGCGCCTTCGGTATAGCCAGCGTTTTGTGCCTACCCGCGGCGTTCTTTCTTCTTTTGCGGGCGGCGTAGGGCCCATGCTGCCCTGTGCCTCGGTACTTTGCTCGACACAGAAAGAACGCTCTCCATTGCGCTTGCCTTTCTTGGCAGGGTGCCATGGCGGGGGAGCAGGCAGGCAAATGTCAGGAGCTGACACTAGGATAGTCGTGTCCGTTATGTACACACATAGACATAATGTCTACGCACGTACATATATCATGCACCCCCGTCCCTATTTTTCAGCTTGCCCACCTCTCCCCTCCGTCTCCTACCCCCGCAATCCACAATGGCCTCCCCCAACCAGGTCTCACATAACGACGATATCCTCGAGAAGCGGCAGGTGTCCCTTGTGGAAAATGTCGACGGCTCTCAGGATGGCGCCCCCTACGAGTGCGAATTTACCGAGCGCGAGCAGAAAAAGATCATCCACCGCATCGATCGCCGCCTTGTCGTGACTGTCGGCATCCTGTATTGCATCAGTTTGATGGATCGCACCAATCTGAGTGCTGCCTCCATTGCTGGGTCCGTACCAGCCATACTTGCTGCTGTTACTTGAACACCCAGCTAATCCCTCCTAGTATGTCTGTCGAGTTGAAACTTACTGTGCTCGAGGGCACAATCTCCCGCTACTCCATTGTCACCATTGTCTTCTTCGCCTCGTACATTGTCTTCCAGCCCCCAGCCACCGTCATCTGCCGTTACCTCGGCCCACGCAACTTCCTCTCCTTTATCGTAGTAGCATGGGGTGGTGTCATGATTGGCATGGGCTTTGCGAATGACTATGGCACAATGGCTGGGTTGCGAGTCTTGCTAGGTGTGCTAGAAGCCGGCTTCTTCCCCAGCTGTGTCTATCTGCTGTCGACATGGTGTACGCACGCTCCTTTCCACAGATGCTTGGACCGATATTGACAACCTATACAGACACTCGCTTCGATATCGGCAAACGGTACTCGGTCTTCTACATCCTCGGCAGTTTAGCTTCCGCTTGTGCTGGTATCCTTGCCTATGGTCTGATGCAGCTCAAGGGACGTGAGGGCTTGAACGGCTGGCGCTGTGAGTTCCTTCTTCATAACCGCGTTCCCCCAAGAGACACTGGCATCTAATTCTTCCTGCAGGGATCTTCATCATCGAAGGCGCGCTTACATGCTTCCTTGGTATCGTCGGTTACTGGGCCCTCGTCGACTTCCCAGACAAGGCACACAAGAGCTGGAAATTCTTGAACGAGCGCGAAGCCAAGTTCATCATCGACCGTGTCAACAGGGATCGTGGTGATGCCAAGCCCGAGCCATTCTCCGTTGCCAAGTTCTTCAAGGGTGGAATGGACATCAAGATCTGGGGTTTCGCCATGGTATGTTTTCAAGCATACACAGTAGAAATCCATGACCTCGCATACTAACTTGCCCAGATCTTCTTCAACACCACCACCGTCACTTATGCTCTTGCCTACTTCCTTCCCATCATTCTAACACAAAACATGGGCTTCTCAGTCGGTGCGGCTCAGTGCTTGGTTGCTCCCCCATACGCCTTGGCCGCTATCGTCATGTACGCCACTGGCTGGCTCGGCGACAAGTACCACATCCGGGGACCCATCATCATCGCTAACATGGTACTCTGCCTCATTGGACTTCCCATCATGGGCTTCCACAAGAACGCCAACATTAGGTACTTTGGTGTCTTCCTCACCACTGCCGGAGCCAACAGCAACATCCCAGCCACCATGTCGTACCAGGCAAACAACATCAGGGGTCAATGGAAGCGTGCTTTCTGTTCCGCCATTCTTGTCGGAATGGGTGGAGTAGGCGGTATTGCAGGAGGTCTTGTTTTCAGGACACAAGATGCACCCAAATATGAGCCAGGTCTTTACGCTTGCATTGCTTGCTGCCTGCTGTCGATTGTCATTGTCGGCCTCATCACGCTGAGGTCATGGAGCTTGAACAAGCGTGCCGATCGTGGAGAGATTGAGCTCGAGTACAACGATGTAAGTCTTGCCTCTGATTTGCTGTATATTCCTGAACGAATGTTAACAACTCTCAACAGGATGGCGACCAGAAGGGCTTCAGATATACCTACTAAATCTTGTATTTCAGCTTTATTCACGGGCAGCGTATCAAGCGACACCATTTTGGATGATATCCGGTTGCTACTTAACATTTGTGATTCACATAACGAATATATGACTCACTTGATTCTCATTCTCTCTGTAATCTAGTGTGTGTGATTGAGAAGCTGCAATCTTATCCGATGCTTCCGCAAGTTTCCATGCCTCCCTTGGCATTTATACAATATAAACCCCAATTCACCCACGTCCCGCGATCTCAGCACTATCCCCATCTTCCTCGGTTCAAACATAAGCAGGGCTGATTCTCAGATCACTAATCCGTCTCCCATTCGCCTGGTGTCATACCTCATGCCGAAACGAGCGCATGTGAAAAAACTACAATCACATGATGCAATGACGAATCTCCCAAGAAACACGTTCCAAAAGCATCTAAACCGTATCTCTCATTCTAGTCTTGGAAAAAAGGGGACGGACATCCCCAAATCGACTGTAGTGAAAACGAAATGGTTCCAGTAAATGAAATAAGGGGAAAAAAGGTCATAATGGCATTACTCCATGCTAGTAGTTGAACAAAAAAGACAAAAAGAACAAAAAGCAGAAAAAAGCAACAAGACATGCGTAGATAAAAGTCAATATATGACGCCCCTCCCCCTTCCAGCCTTGCATCCTGAAACTCCATCCGTCGCTATGCACGCAATCTGACCAGATAAAAAAAAGTCAATTATAATAATAACCAAGAGTAGGGTATAGCCATAAAGGCAACAAAGTGTTTGTTCATGGTCCAAAAACACATAGGGTAGTAATAAACCCAGATCCAACCACTGTCTAATAAGATT